TGGGTAAAGAGCTTATACGTCAAATCATGGGGTACTTTTTACCCATTTCCAGAACGCATTGTTTTCCATAACTGGGTAAAAAAGTACCCATTTGTTAAAATTTATGTATGGGACTTAACCTGAAATTTGAGAATTTGCAATAATTTTAAAATCAATCAATAAAATGAAAATTACAGATTAATGGTTTTGCTTTTGGTTTGAACTTGGTTTTTATTGAATATCATTGCAATAATTAATGAAAACAATGATATTAATACATTACAATACATTATTCATCAGCATCTTTTTCGTCAGCATGGATGGATTCCTTAAACGATGAAACCAAACGATTGACCATCGGACGGGTGCTGGTCGTTTTGATTCCATAACATATGATCTCGATGAAAATAATATTTTTTTGCACTTCTGCTGGCGGACGAATGTTGAAAACAGTGAACACTTTAAATAGAGTGTCCAGCGCGCGGATGGAGTCAATTCCACCGTGGATGAGTTGAGCGTCAACGTAAATAAAGTAATTGTTGCCGTTGAAAATCAGATGGGCGCCACATCAACGTTAGCATCGACATTCCAAGCAACATACTTCATTAATTGCTCTTGTAAAGCTGTTTCAGTATCCTGAAAAAAAAAAAAAACGTCTTTTTAACAACAGCAAAATCTAGCGTAATGGATATATTACCGTGATATATCGAATTATCGGAGCCGCTAGTTCTGCTTCGATGTCTGTTGACTCCTCCAAGGAAGATTTTCATACACCCCTTCTGGTGAGGGAAACGAGAATGCGTAGACATCCTCGGACGTTATCTGTGTAATGTTATGTTATAGTATTTCTTACCTTGAAGCTTTTTGAAGCTATCACCTTTTAATTATTTTTTTTAAACTATACATTTTTATTACTTTTTGTGCTTTTTAACGGAACAAAGGCACTCGACAATGTACACCAATGGTGGTAAGCTCCAACCGGTATTATCCTCGGATTAAATCCCGATCAAGAATGTCCGGCTGGTTTGATGTCGACATCAGAGTTAATCAACATAATTCTGAGCAAACATTTTTCAGATCATACAAACAGGGACGGTATTAAAAGTTAATCCGAGTTGGAGCTTACCGCCATTAGAGTCGGTGTATAATGAGTCACGCCAAGAGTGAAGCCAAGTCTACCTATCGAACCGTCAAACCGGCTACCTATCGGGCAAAGTAAATAAACATTACGATGCTATGAAAGGTTCACGAAAGGTATTGCAATAAAATATAAAATATAATCGAAGAAATGAGCATAAACACGCAGTGATCGTTAAATTGTCATGAGATACGCTCGGTAATAATTAGTAATGAGAATTTCTACTAATTTTTGTTAAGATAATTTGACAAAATCACTCATATAATGATTTACTACAGCCGCAATATTTTTTCTTTCGCTAGAAGTCATTTGAAGTTGTTGTAGAAGTCCTCTGTTGCCAAGTGAAAAGAATGGGAATCTTTCGAAAACCGTGATGCGAGTTCAACTGTTTTTCTCTTGGCGTGACTCATTATACACCGACTCTAACCGCCATGAGAAAAGAGTTGGCGCAAAACAAGTGTGTAGAGTGACCACCCCTTGGTGTGTTATTATTCGCGACGTTCGGAGGCGATTTTACACGAACACGTTTTTATTTAATAGAGAGAAATTTTATTTGTCTGTACAGTGTGGAAGTCTGTTTGAGAATAGAGAACACGCCGCGACGGAAATTAGCTCAAACCTCTGGCGGGGAGCTTAACCGGATGTGCACGAACACAGACTTGTCAAAGTGACAGTTCATCATGCGGGAAAAAGAAAACTTGAGGGATAATCCTCTTCTAGGGGTAGGACAGTGTGCACAAGGTTGCTACATCAGTGTGCCGCAAGTATGCCGATTGTGCCGGTCATAAGTGAACCCTACACGATTGCTTTTATTGACAATAATCGTATGCTATATTGACGTCAATACATCGAGATTGACAATATGTCTGAATTCACATCATCAACATCATTGTCAATAATTCCCCTTCGCGTCAATATATTGATGCGTGTGGGGTTTGCTATAGAGCACGCTGCGATTGTTTGTAAAATACCCATCCCGGCAATCCGGTATTTCTGACACCTTGAATGTTTTGGTTTGAAATCGCAAGGATAAATCAGATTGAGGATGACGCGGGAAGTGACGGGTGTGTGAACTTTCGGTGTTTTGTGATCCATAGGGTAATAAAAGTCCTGTGTTTTAGTGTTTTATAATGCCCTCAAAGCCAGACCAGAAATCTAGCCTTTCGGCCGGAAAGAGTTGGAACCGGTGGGGAGCATTGTTAGAGACCGACTATAGAGGGTGATGAATATACTTCTTTAGTTTGTTTTGTGTGATTTGCGGCATTATTTGAATTAAAGGTACTAATGAGGTCTGATTAACTGGCTCTTCCTCTTGAGTCCACTCTACACGCTGAGGAAATCCGGTACAAACTTTTTATTTTTAAGCATGCCATGCTAGAAACAACTCAAAAATATTGTTAAAACAACACATTGTTTTTGCTCGTTCCATTAAAATCTTCAACAAAAAATATTGTTGATTATAATGAGTAAATGATTAATTTCAATAACAGCTTGAATTTGATTCAATTTCTAGCTCGCAGCACAGTTCGACAGAAGATGATGTTAGCTTGCGCCTTAAACAACACACTGAAAGGGAAATTCATTTGCAGTCGGGTTATTCGCGAAAGAGAAAATCGATTAAGAGAATCGATCAACAATGATAGGCCCTTTTCTCGTGTTGCACAGAGCTGGAAAAAGGGCCTATCTGCTTTGATTGATTCTCTTCATCGACTTTCTCTTTTGATGTGGTTGGCTATGCAAACAGTTTTCGTGCTATTTTTGCCACATAGCATGAAAAAGGAGGTTTTTATCGAGGGGGGCGACTCTATCTACGATGCAGGAAAGATTGTGTTTTGCTGTGGTAGCTGCGCGCACGATCAGTAGATAGAAAGAAGATTGATGCCGATTCTGAAGATTTCCTGCAAAAAGATGATGCGCGATGCAAATAGATGCGTGAAATGCATGAAGATTTTTCGAAGATTGATTCGCTAGTGAGATTTTTTGAGCATCTAGAATTGAGATTTAGATGTGTCGCCCCCCTCGGTTTTTATCTATCGTCCAAACCGTCAAATACAACAGGGAATGTTGTTGTAGCTGAGTTATTAATGGAAGAGAGAGAGTCGATGAAGAGAATCGATCAAAGCAGATAGGCCCTTTTTCCAGCTCTGTATAGAATTTTTGGTGTTTCAAAAATAATTAATTATGAGCCGGCCATTTTTTTTGTTAAAATTATGCAGAGTTTTGTTGTGAGTAAAATAAATTTTTCTGCGTGTAGAACCTACATTTCGTATTTAGATCTATAAATGAACTGCTGGTCTGATTTCCTCTAGTATATTCAATTAGATGATGTTGCTGAACATACAGTCAAACAGCACGTAATGTTCTGAACAACTTCAATGACAGTTGTCCAGCAGTGCTCCCATTTTATTTACAACAATCTAATGCCTACGAGATTGTGCCGAAGGTATGCCGAGAATGTGCTGATGGATGTGCCCAAGCTGCGTAGAATATAATTCAGACACAATGTGCTGAGTGACTTACTCATCCTTGGTAAACTCGCTTATATTTTTGCAAAGCACTTTTGACAAATAAACCTGATTCGACGTCCCATTGCAAAATCTAAGTCGCATGATTGGCATGATTAGCAGTGCATATAGGAAGTATGTGTGAAGCCTATGAAGGTTATTTTCGTTTAATAGTTTCTATAGTCAGTCAAATGAAATCAATGACATGGTGTTGATCGACATCTTGTGTGTAAAATCTAATAACGATAACGTTTGATTTATTTTCAGTGTACTGTTTCAATATTAACGCCATGAACGTAGAACCACTCGTCTTTAACGCGCTTTACCGGATTTATGAGGATTCGACGGAGTTGAGCTTTGGAACCTGCTTCTTCCAGGACTACAATCAGGTCTTAGACTTAGACTACTTTCTACTACTATGCTGTTTCTCAGTTCCTTCGGTTCCGAAATGTTGAATAATTGGATCAATCAGTCTAGGCTCATAAATTTTTGAATTTTGGATCAATTTGACTCCATGGAACAAACATTAGATTAACGGATTAACGTACTGCTGAATTTTTCACTTTGTATTGAATCATCTATATAGACTACCTTTCCATTATATTTTGAGATCTCTATTAATGAGTGAATTTGTATTCCTATAAAAAAAAGTGTCCATTAAAGTTAATTGGTAAAATCTCAATCATTTGATTGTTACAGGTGCAAATTGATCGTGCTGCCATTTCTTACATTTCCTCTGCACCACCTGGTTGGTTACATGTCGGTGTCGGTGGTTGACGGGGTGCTCCTAATGTTTTCAAATTTCGTTTTACGCCACCATTCTTTAAACTTCTGTACACTGCGTCCCATGCGTCCTTGTTTATGAAAAATTCTCTTCAGAAGTCCCTTTTCACATGCCACTTATATCGCACTCGTTTTGTGTAGAAAACCAAGGGAAGAAGGAGCCTCCAATAACCAGCATGTTGGTGCAGCTGTTGGCATTTGCGAGTAGATGTGGGATAGGTATCGCTTGAATGTTACACATGAATCTAGGAACGAACCGGTGTTTTTTTTGTTCTTCGCTTTCCCGTGTCCTTTTCACTTATAGGTATCTCCTCGACGGCAATATCCATAATAAATGAATGCACTTCATCCAAGTAGGCAGGCAACATGCGTTCGGCAGGTATCGTAGCGTGTGAACGTATTTCCTGCCGTTTCTGAGTCCTGCTATAATAGCGTATGTGCGCGTGTTCCAATTCCCTGCCCAAGTGAACCGTGTCCTTTTCCTCCGTGGAATAGAATTGTACTTTATCTTACATAGGAAATGAAAGTTGAAGTTCAGACCGTGCCGGTCGTCATTCAGTTTGTAGATATTTATGCAGCAACACAAACACAGCCAATTCAACAAGCGGTCGTTGCCGTGGGTGATCCTTGAATTTGCGCCCGAAGGGATCCCCTCAGTCTGACTAGGTCTGTGTCGACGTGAACTCCTTTCGCTGCTGCTAGTTTTGTCCAAAGAAATGCCAACGTTCAGAAAACCGAGCAAAAAGGCGAATAGTTATGAGATTTTAAATAACAACGTAGACTATGGCTCCCGGACGATCGATCGTATGCCCAGGGCCTACTGCGATCGAGCCAGTCCCTATCGGGGACGGGTGGAGTTTGGCGAGAAAACACGGCGGGCATGCGGAAGTGTGATGTCGTTTTATCTGTGCGCGTGTAAAGCGATTTTCGTGGGCGATGTCGCGACGGGCAAGAGCTCGCTGGTAAATCGATTTTGCCATGAAATTTTCGATGGAGACTACCGCGGTACGATCGGGGTGGATTTCGAGGTGGAGAAATTTCACGTGTTGAGCCATGCGTACAGTTTGCAGATGTGAGTTTGTTGGAATTCGAATTTTTTTTTAGAGAGTCGATTGGTGTGAATTTGGTTCTTTTGACAGATGGGATACAGCAGGCCACGAGAGATTCAAATGCATTTCCCAGGCTTACTATCGGAATGCGAACGTCATCGTGGTTGTGTTCGACCTGACGCGAGCTGAATCGTTGATGAATGCCCGGAGGTGGTTGGACGATGCTATGAAGCTGAATCATCTGGGAGCTTTGAAGTTCTTAGTTGGGACTAAGAAGGACCTGTTGGTACGATCAACGATCCCTGATTGGTTCGTTTGAATCAACATCTAATGGAATCATCGATCGGTATTTACAGGACGACCACTCCTTGCTGGCCGTGGAAAGGGAAGCAGAAACTATGGCAAATGACCTGCAGGCCGAATACTGGTCCGTGTCCGCCCAAACGGGGGAAAATGTTACCCAATTGTTCCAAAGACTCACTGCCTTGGCGTTCGATTCGGCCGTCCAGCGATTGATGGATCCCAACAATCCGGTCGTACACCCCAGCGGAAATAGTCTGCTAAGTATGCTTAAGCTTAAATTTTCCAACACACATAATAAATTCTTTTCAATTTCTTTCAGACCTCTACTTCCTCAAAAAGGACGAAAAAGACAAAAAGCTGAAAAAGTGTTCCTTCTGTAAAATAAATTAATTTATTCATCCAAGTTTACCGTGGCTTTCATTGTGACGTTTGACATCATTCCATAGTAGAAAAAAAAAACAATCAATTCAAGATGCAGTCCGATCCCAGGGGTGAAGGAATTTCGTCATTACAACCCCCAGATTTAAGCCAACTGAACCGGAGAAAATGCGTTGCATTCCGGCCCCGAACGATTCCGTCAATCGATGAACCAGCCAATCCCTGCCCATTTGCGTTCCAAGTGAAAGAGCGAGTCAGCTGTCGCGAGACACAGGAAGTAAATATTTCCCTTGGAAACCAATTCCCGATGCCACCGGGGTGGGACCGTACCTTTTCAAACTTCGTAGACTTGCTTTGTTTGTATTTAATGTTTGAAATCGTGCGTCCAACGGTTACGCGCCTGCCAAACGGCAACAGTTGTTGGTCGCTAGAGGGTTTAGTATAAGAGAGGAGCGGACTGGCTGGTTTTGAACCAAACGAACTGTCAAATCCAGAACCAATCGCACTGTGCCTATATCTTGATTGTATTGGCAGTGTTGCCAGAAATCATCTAGCCATAGGTTGCCAAGACAGTTTGTTTTGAATTCGCTCCTCTCTTATACTAGACCCTCTCTAGTCGCTATATACCTCGTAGTGAACAGGATTCCCCTTATTTCTTCCACGGTGTGCTGTTGAATAGGTTGTTATCGACGAAATCGATTATACACCTCGATGTCTGAAGTCGGCTAGATGGAGAGAGGATGTGAATGAAGAAAGTAAAGTCCCTAGGGTAAAGTACAGCTGGGATCAGTTGCGGCAATTGTATCCGGAAGGTGGCGAGGAGAGCTCCAAGTCGGATCCGAGAAAGCCGGCGATTGTTTGTTCTGTTGAGACCTTAGGATTATACGGCGAACCGGTGGAAACGATGGAGGAAGCTGCTCAGGTAAGTGCATTGGCTATGGTGGCAGTCAACGCTCTCGTGTTTTGGAGTGAAATGGTGATTTTAGCTTTCATCGATTTGAAAACGATTGTAAAAGTTGAAATCTGCAAACTTTAGGGAAGTCTGGGAACTTCTTAAATTCAACTAAATTCAGGGAAGTCTTGGAACTACAAAAATATACTGTCAACGTCAGTGAAGTTAGCGTTCTTTAGTAAAATCTGCTTATGCCAGGAAAAATCTATGAACTTCAGGAAATCACTGAAAATATTAGGGATGTCTGTGAACCTAAAAAAACTGTAAATTTATTAGAAAACTGGTAACTTCCGGAACGTTCTACAAACATGCGAAAAATTGCGAAACAACATGAAGGCTTAGTAAACTTCAAGGAACTTTTTTAAACTTAACGAATATTATGCACACTTCGGAAAATTTTAACGAATTTAAGAAAATGTTTTAGAAAAGTTCTACGTGATTCAGGAAAGTCTGTAGATTTCTGAAAAATTCATCAAAATTCAAGGACGAGAGTTCTTAAAGCTATAAAAAAATTATGCTAACTTTAAAAAATCTGCAAAATGCGAAGCCTTCCGGAAAATTTTGTGAACTTTTAGAAAAATTCAGAGATCTACATGATAGCTCAGCAATTTCAGAAAAAATCTGGTGACTTCAGGAAAGTTCAGCAAAATTCTGGTACCTTCAGAAAAGTTCAGCGAACTTCAAGGAACTTCAGGATTATTCTGAAAACTAGTAAAAAAATTAATAAAATACTGGAAAGTTTTGAAAAGTTCAGAAAACTTTTATCAACTCGAATAATATTCTGCGGGCTTCAGTAAAGTTCAGCATATTTTTGGGAAGTTCTAAAAATTCAGGAAAATTCTGCAAATTTCAGGAAAAATCTGTGAATTTCAAGGAAGTCTGAAAACTTTATGAAACTTCAGAATTTTTTTCTAAATTATAGAAAGTCTGCGAGCTTCATGGAAATTTACGAACCTATGTGAAGTCTGAGAATTTCTGGGAAATTCTGCGAATTTCATAGGAATTCTGCTAATTTAAAGTGGAAAGAGCTTCCCTAAGGTTCATGGAAAAACTTCCCTGAAGTGTTTTAACGAAGTTTACTGAAGTTTTAGAAAGAGCTTCCCTTGTTCTCTGGGAAGAGTATTTCAGAAGATATGAGAAGAACTTTTCTGGAGTTCTGGGAAGAACTTTTTTGGAGTTCTGGGAAGAACTTCTCTCAAGTTCTGGATAAAACTTTCCTCAAGCTTTGGGAAGAGCATCTCTGAAGTTCTGGATAGAACTATCCTGGATTTCTTGGAATAATTTTTCTGTAGTTCTCAGAAGGACTGTTCTTTAGTTTTGGGAAGAGGGTTTCCTGAAGTTTTGGGAAGAACTTTCTTGATATTCTGGAAAGAACGTTCCTAAAGTTTTTGGGAAGAATTTCCCTGGAGTTCTGGGAAAAAAATTTCTAAAATTCTGGGAAGAACTTCCATCAGGTCGATGAGCTTCATTAAAACTCTGCGAACATCAGAAAGTTTCCAGGATCTTCTAGATAGTTTTGAAAGGTTCAGAAAAATTTCAAGAATTCCAAGAAAATTCTGCGAATTTCAGGAAAGCTTCTACTAACTTAAGAAAATTTCAACAAACTTCTGGAAAGTTTTGAAAATTTCAGAAAATTTTCAAGAACTCCAGGAAAATTCTGCGAATTTCAGGAAAGTTCAGACATTTTTTGGAAAGTTCTGCAAACTTCGCAAAAATTCTGCAAACTTCGCGAAAATTCTGAAAATTTCAGGAAAAATCTGGGAATTTTATAGACGACTGTGAACTTCAAGTAAGTCTACGAACTTCAGGAAAATTTCACTCAATTAAAAAAAGTCTGCGAATTTCTGAAAAATTCTGTGGATTTCAAAAATATTCTGCCAACTTAAGTAAAGGCGGCAAACTACATGAAAATTATGAGAACTTTAGTAAAGTCTGCTTCCACTAGGAAAATTTTGTGGAGCACGTAACAGGGAAGTCAGTGAACTTAATTTTTTAAAAATAATACCAGATCAACTTGAGGCTTTGAAAAAAAATATGAGGACTTCAGAGGGGCCTAAGATCATTTGTTGGTTTTTAAATATTTTCTGATCATCCTAGTATCGTTGGTGAAAATCAGAGAGACTTGATTTAAATTGTTGAACAGCTGAACTTCAGAAAAAAAACCTGATCAACCTGAAGACTTGAAAAAATATCCTAAAATAAACTTCGGGAAAATCCTTTACAGAACTATAGAAAAGCTCTATCCACAACTTGAGGCAAATTTTTCCCAGAACTGAAGGAAAGTTCTTCCCAGAATTTTATAACTGTTTTTCCCAGTACTCCAGGGATATTCTTCTCAGAAACTCAGGGATTATCTTCCCAGAATATCAGGATAGCCTCTTTCCAAAACTTCAAAGGACTTCTTCCCAAAACTTCAGAAAAGTCCTTTTCAGAACTACAGAAAAGTTGTTCCAAGAGCTCCAAGAAGTTTTATCCAGAACTTCAGAGTTGTTCATCCCAAAGCTTGAGGAAAGTTCTATCCAGAACTTTGAGAGAAGTTCTTCCCAGAACATCAAAAAAGTTCTTCTCAGATTTTCAGAAATGCTCTTTTCAGAGCTCCAGGGAAGTGCCTTCTTAAACTTCAGGGAAGTTTTTCAATGAACTTTAGGGACGTTGTTTCCAAAACTGTAGGAAAGTTCTTCCAAGAGCTTTAGAGAAGTTTTGTCCAGAACTCAGGAAAAATGTTTCCCATATCTTCAGGCAAGTTTTTCCCAGATTTTTAGGGAAGTTCTACCTAGATCTATAAGGAAGTTCTTTCTAAAACTTCAGGAAAGTTTTTCTCAGAACTTCAGTAAAATTTTCCCTGAACTTAAGGGACATTCTTCCCAGTAATTTAAGAAAGTTCTTCCCAGAACCTCAGAAAAGTTCTTCCTACAAGTTCAGGGAACTACTTCCCACTAATCCAGGGAAGTTCTTTCCATAACTTGAAAAGAAGTTCTTTCCAGACCTTTAAAGAAATTTTTCAGAGAACTTTAAGGAAGTACTTCCTATAACTTTAGGAAATGTTTCCCAGGACTTCAGGGATTTTCTTCCCAAAACTTTCGGGAAGTTCTTGCCAGAACTTAAGGGAAGCTCATCTTGAAGTTGAGAAAAGTTCATCCTTTAGGGAAGTTTTTCTCAAAACTTTAGGAAAGTTCTTCTCAGAACTTCAGAAAAGTTCCTCACAAAACTTCAGAAAAATTCTTCCCAAAATTTTAAGGATGTTCTTCCCAGAACTTGAGGGCAGTTCATCCCAGAGCACGAGGAAAGTTCTTCCCTTAGCTCGAGGCAAATTCTTCCCAGCACTTGAGAGGAGTGATTCCCTGAACTTGAGAGAAGTTTTTCTCAGAACTCCAGGGAACTTGTTCCCAATATTTCAGGGGTTTACGTTTCTGGAGTTTTGGTAGGTTCATCCACGAACTCTAGAAAAGATCAACCATTAACCTCCGAAAAGTTCTTCCCATAAGTCCAGGAAAATTCTTCCCAGAACTTTTGGAAAGTTCCAATAATTTTAGGAAAAAATCAAAGACTTCGAACATTCCCGTAATTCTACAGAAATTTCCCAAGCTTTATTGGAGCAACAAGGACTTAAAAAGTGTTTCCAGAATTTCAACAGAGCTCCCAAAAAATCTGAAAACTACGATGGAGTTCCCAGAGCCTCAACGGGCTCATTACAACTTCTTCGGCATTTACAAAACTTTATAAAACTTCTGTGAATTTCATAAATTTTTTAACGAACTTCTGGCAAGTTTTGAGGAACTCCAGGAAAATAGCCTTGAATGCCTTGAACCACCTCAGTACTTCTATCTTGTTGATATTAGTTGTTTTTTTCTAATATGCAAAACCTACCTCCTTGCAGGCCCCCGACAAGGTGGAAGCATTCGACCTGGACCAGGAACCGGACTTTAGCGGTGTGATCGACCGTCGCAGCCCATCGCTGGAGAAGGACGCCAAAACCTACCACGTGAAGATCCTTCTCACGGAAACCGACGACATCATCCTGTACGAAGCTGCCAGTCACACCGTGGCGAAGGATTCCGACGAAGCGCCCCTGGTCGAGCAGCAGAACATCTACTACGACACGAAGAAGAAGAACCGCCGCACGGCGATGGCCGCAGCGGAAGCACAAACGCCCGAAATGCTGCTCAAGTCGCGTGCCGTCAATACGGAGCGGATCAGGAAGCAGGAAGTGGCGTCGTTCGTGTCGAACTATGACATGTACGATACGTACAACGATCTGGAACGTCACACGAAGGAGATTGACCTGGCGGAAGCGGCGTCCAAGATCGAGATTACGACGTACTCGCGCGAGGGAATGGAGAATATTATCGATATGTTGAACAAGAGCGAGAACTTCCACCTTTCGTCGATGATTTTGCAGCGCTTGTTGGCCGGAAATGTGTACCGGGAGAAGCAGAAACGATTCCGGAACATGTATATGCCGGACCCGTTGGATAAGAATGCAAAGTACTTGTACAGGTTGGAGACACTGTGGACGTACAAGTCGCTGGAGACGACGGGAAAAGCGGTGGCCAGTGCGAGTTGGTGTCCGGCAAATGGAGACATCGTAGCCATCGCATATGGGATCTATGGGTTTACGAATTTCGATCTTCGGAGCAAAGGGTATGTGTGCGTTTGGAGTATCAAGAATCCGGTGAACCCGGAGAGGCAATACCATTTTTCCGTTCCGGTGACGTCGGTTGCGTTCTCCAAAAAAACTCCGCAGTTGTTGGCCATCGGGCTGTACGATGGATCGGTGCAGATTTGGGACATTATGGATAACTCGAAGGTACCGGTGGGTGTTTCGGAGCGAAAATCGTCTCCCGGGTTTGAGCCGATTTGGGATATCGGTTGGATCGAGTCGGATGATGATTTGGATCAAATTCTGACAGCTTCCCAGGATGGAACGATCATGAAGTATACTTTGAACATCGGCCACTATCTGATCGGGTTTACGCAGCTGAAACTGGATCGAGTTGAGTGCGAAACGGAGGGCATTCAGGTGGAGAAGAAACAGGATAGTATGGAGGCGGATCGTCACCCGCAGGCGTTGAGCTTGACAATACATCCTGTTCGGAAGGACATCTACTTTATCGGAACGGATGAGGGTTGCGTTCACAGATGTTCGGTAAACTACTCGTATCAACATTGCGGTGTGACCCGTATGCACAGTGGTGGAGTTTTCTCAATCGAGTATTCTCCGTGGAGTCCGAAGATCTTCCTGACCTGCGGTGGTGATTGGTGCATTCGGATTTGGATCGAAGATATCAAGGAACCGATCATAACCTTATCGTCGGGGTTTGGGCCTATCCAGACAGCCCATTGGTCCCCGGTTAACTCGACGATCATCGTTAGTGTGACACAGGACTCGGTGCAGCTGTGGGATCTGAAGAAACGGATGCAGAAGCCAGCTTCCTATACGACGTTTGGTGATGCGGCCCTGACGATCGCCAAGTTTACAAATTGCGGACGAAGCCTTCTGGTCGGCGATAGCGACGGACGGGCGTACATTTGTGCCCTGGAGGATATGCCCTTTCCGCCACACTTCCAGTACGATGAGCTGAAAAAGGCTCTGTACAGAAGTTTGATTTGCAAGCCCGCTCTGTTGAAACTGGTCCGGCGGTGCGGATATTTGGGTTATTGAAAGTAGCGTGATGGTTTGATTGATTGCGGTTTAATGTGCCGGCATTTTGATTATCTTGTCATTTTGTGTGAGTATTTTTAATCAGAAGTGACGTAGTGAAAATCCTGTTTATTGAAATAAATCATATACCTAGAATTCAGAACGTTACAGTTAAATTTATAATCAGAAGGAATCAGTTCTGTGTGGTCCCATTATCTAAGCTAATGAGTGCTAAAAGATCTCCTAAAAGCCATTCACAAGTCGTCAAATTTAAGTTAGATCTGATTCATAATCGTTCACAATCGCGTTTGGATTCGAATTTTATGGGTTTTGTTTATTGGCAGTTATTGACAGTGGCGGAGCGGATGGGAATTTGGGCATTCAGAAGCACTGGAGTTTCCATCTATAAAAGAATTCTCCTCTGGACCTAGATGGCTATTATGGTTAGGTCTAGATCTTGATGACACTTTTCTTTTATGATGAATTTCTGGAATTCCTGCAGTCGATCTTTTATTCCTTGAAATACATGCAAATAAATACATGTAATTATGCAATGAGCTATTTTCGTCTATTCTCCTTCGTTTGAAATCCGGCTACGCCCATGCTCATCGGCTACCCCTTTCCGTTGGTAAACATTTTAACTGTCATCCAGGACCGATCACAAAAAAAAAGTAACCAAATGAACCATAAAAATCCTACACCTCCCGGTTTTTGTTTTATAACCATTCCACAGCCGATAGCTTTCCTGAACTCACTAAACTTCACTCTCCCCTCTGCTGAATAATCGTTTTATTAACTTGATCGGATTCCCCTTCGCCGTCCGCCCGAGTAAAAAAAGAATTATTTATGAATAAATTAATAAATAATTAAACCTCACTTCTTCTGATCGAACTAACCAAATTGTACCTTCCTCCCGCCGACATCGAGGAAGGATGTCACCTGATCCCGCTGCCGTGCCGCCGAGGAGAATCAAGAGTGAGTTTTATAGCTTTTTAATGGCTTTCAAATTATCAACATTTTTTTCCCACCTTCTTGTTTTTGTTTTCCGAAATTATGCCAGTTGACGCAGATGCGGCACGAGAAATTCGAAGGCTTGTCCCTTCCGAAAATCCCGATTATAAAAGACAATAAAAGCTAAGCCTAATTACGACAAATTAGTAGACTCTCCCTGCTGCTGCCATCTGCGGAACATTTTTTTTTTGATCGCACTCATCCGATAGCTTGTTTCAGCAGGAATAAAAATTGTTTTCTGGCGGGTGGTCTTTGGTGGTTGCCGCCGCCATCGAGTTGGCCATGGTGTGTTCATGGCGTGTCAAAATTTGCACACGCCATTATTTATTAGAGAGGAAGAACGTAAATTATAACTTATTTTTCGCGAACATTTCTTTTTTCGGTTTGGGTCAAAGACAATGATGAAGGATACTTAAATTTGGGATGTGCTGTTAGTTTTAAAGAAGGTGGCGTTTGATAATTTAGTAAATGTATACACGGTAGGCGCATCATCATTACTACAAAGTGTACAAATACACATTTAGTTGGGAGACTGAGACTACTCAGTAAATGAAGCTGCCCTCGGGGTTGTCCTCAATATATAAACAAATAGATAGATAAATACATAGATTAATAGATAGATAATAGTACGTTCATAGTACGTTCAGACTGCAGAGTTATAACATGTTATAGCGCTATCTTGATGGTGGTTTCTGTGTTGCAATTATGCCTTGTTCAGACTGGAGAGTTATAACATGTTATAACAGTTTGTGAAATAATTGCAACACAGAAACCACCATCAAGATAGCGCTATAACATGTTATAACTCTGTAGTCTGAACGTACTATATTTGACAACCGTTATAACATGTTATAACTCTCCTGTCTGTATTAGTACGTTCAGACTACTGAGTTATAACATGTTATAGCGCTATCTTGATGGTGATTTCTGTGTTGCAATTAGTTGACAACCGTTATAACATGTTATAACTCTCCAGTCTGGACAGCGTTTATAGCGTTTATTATGCCTTGTTCAGACTGGAGAGTTATAACATGTTATAACGGTTGTCAAATAATTGCAACACAGAAACCACCATCAAGATAGCGCTATAACATGTTATAGCTCTGTAGTCTGAACGTACTATTATAGTACGTTCAGACTACAGAGTTATAACATGTTTTAGCGCTATCTTGATGGTGGTTTCTGTGTTGCAATTATTTGACAACCGTTATAACATGTTATAACTGCTCTGTCTGGCCAGCGCTTTATAGTACGTTCAGACTACAGAGTTATAACATGTTATAACCAACAATCAATACGAAACTAACGATTTCAAATTGGCTCACCACTTTAGTAGCCTATTGGTCCCAAGCAAACGATTAACGTACCCTATTCTAGTTGAAATTCTATTACTACACTATGTTTGTTTTGATTCGCTATGAAAGTTTGACAGATAACATCAGGGGTGTGTGGATTCATGCAGAACATGCAGGGGTGAGTGAAATAGCTTGGGACTGCTTGGGACCGTTGTTCTTGTACTGAGTGAGCCAAAAATAATAATGATTTTCTTCAGGACCCAGTGGTCTTAGAGTTACCTCTATGTTATAACTCTGTAGTCTGAACGTACTAATAGTGCTATCTTGATGGTGGTTTCTGTGTTGCAATTAGTTCACAACCGTTATAACATGTTATAACTCTCTAGTCTGGACAGCTTTAAAGGTGATAAATGAGTACACACTTAAACCATAGAGGTAACTCTAAGACTAGAAGGTCCCGAAATAACGTGCTCAATTTTTTGGCTCAGCTCTGGTACTCTCTTCGGTCCCGGTCCCGATCGATTCACCCCTCGAAACATAGGAAAATCCACTAACCCCTCATTTTATCTGTCAAATTTTCATAGTGAATCAAAACAAACATTGTGTAGTACTAGAATTTCGACTAAAATGGGGTACGTTAATTGTTTGCTTGGGACCAATAGGCTAGTCAAGTGGTGAGCCAATTTAAAATCGTTAGTTTCGTATTGATTGTTGCTTAAACGCTGTCCAGACTGGAGAACTATAACACAGACAAACAGACGTAACACTTCAATGAGTATCTTCGTTCACGCCGCAGCGCTTTCATCGGATTACTTTGACGATTCTATACATTCTATAGAACTTTTATGCAATATTGTTTGCGAGTTGGCGAGCAAGCTTGTTTTCCGCGAGAAGCCCGAGAGATGTCTTTACTGAGGTCCTATGTTTTGAGATACTATGTTTGCAAGAAAAACTGTTTCTAAGAGTTACGTCTGTTTGTCTGTGGTTATAACATGTTATAACGGTTATCAAATAATTGCAACACAGAAACCACTGACAAGATAGCGCTATAACATGTTATAAATCTGTAGTCTGAACGTACTATTAGAAAAAATTATGCTAATTTAGGTGCTCTGAGACTGACCATCAATTTTGACATAAAATTGAGTCATAACAGACGCAAAATTCTCCGCAACTAAACGTACTTTTAGTCGTCACGATTTTTTCAGGCTCGGAGCACTTAATTTTACATGACATGTTTATTTACGTCTCATCCTTTATGTCAAAGATCAGAACTTAATCAGGCAAAAATATGCTTCTTCAGCTAAATAATACCTTGTTCAGCTTTCAATCAGCTCTATAGATAAATAGATAGATTTTTCCCCTTAATTAGTTTATTTATGAAGCTTCAATTTACTTTGCTGTGTTTAAAAAAATCAAAAGCAGTTTTTTCGATAATTTATAGGGGAAATGGATGTAATGTCGGCCTTAATGCTCCTAATTTGTATGAGATGGATAATAGCTAGGTAGGTCATGACTTTTCATACACATTTCCTGACAGTTGGTGAAAAGTCATTTTGGATTCAAGCTGCTGCACGGGTAAGTTGAATATTTATTAGCAGCATCGTGGGTGATTTGCCCGTAATTAATATCAGCGGAGTTTCACAATTTGGGCAATCGACTAAATTGTCAATAGCGACCAAAAATATCCATTAGTACCGTCCCAATGACGCGTTCATCTAGATAAAATTGATAAATAGCAGATTTTTAGCGATGGGCCCAATCTTAGACCCATAGGCCAACATTAGAGCCATTTCTCCTATATAATTTTATAACTACAAATAATTACAATTGAGAAACATTATTACTTTTTCTCGGACTTGACTTGAGCTTAGCTTCGCTTTCTGCCGTGCCCTCAACTCCTTTGCTTATTTCAATAGATTTTCCTTTCACATCACCAGCCGCTTAGCCTTCTCTTAGTCCAGTATCCCGAATTTGTAGTAGTAGGGTTAAATACCCCATTTCCGGCCTATTATATAAGCACAACCCGCACTTAGTCTTTCTTAATCTAGCGCAGTTTAGCACCAAACGGAATGTTATTATTACTGATGGCTTTCAAATTTATTTACCTTTTCGTATGTACCGTAAGATTTGATAAAGAGAAACCAATCGTTGAGATATTGTCAAAAGTCTAACACTGCTTCTTGACGCCAAACTCGGCCTACGGATTCTAAACTCGGCCTAACGCATTGAAACGCCATTCAAACGCCAATGAATTCACTTCGGCGTATCGGATGAAGATAAAAATTGATTCGGTCGGGGCGCTTCTTTTGTATTTGGAAATAATGGATGCAAACCTCCATATCACGCGTTCTCATTGACTTCGTTCCGTAGCTTATTAACTAAAGTATCGTACCAAACACATAATTGACTTGTTAACTCTGAAATCATGGATTTATTTGAAGTTTTCTGCTCGATAGGCCCAAAATGGGCGATTAGGCCGAAGTAGTTCTCTACCCTAATATGTTTTGTAATGGAAAACAGGCGGCTGCTATTTCTTGGCATCGCTTGCTTCCACTCTAATGTACTTCTCGGCATCCATCTTCACCATCTCTTCTTTGAGCACCTCAACCGCTTCCTCTGTGTCTTTGTTGTTTGACCATGCAGCTCCAGTCTTTACATCAGTGTACGTACTGCTACTGCTTTGTTCTTCATTCCGTTGATGGTTTTCGTCTTTCTGTTGTTACTGGCTTTTTCCATTCCGATTGTGGAAAT